TATTTCTATATTGTAACTGTACAGGTGCTAGAATAGTTGATATAAAACATCATCATTTCGTAATGTTCATGAAAGTTATCAAAATAGAGTTAGAGTACAGAGTTAGATTTATTCATTATTGTCTAACTGTTAACATGACATTTCGATCAGATATTTACCTGTGATGTAAACGAGACGATATGTTTTATTTTGATGGGAGCCATCCCAGAAACACAACTCATTGAACGTGTTGCGTCATCACGTATTCGTTTTTCCCGCCTGAGCTCGATAACTCCACCCACAGCGTCGCCTCATCCGGTTCAGGAAAAAATCAGAGGATACCCTCTTGTGGCCTTCATAATAAAATTAAAATAATAATAACACATTTATTACACAGTTGCATATTATTCAACATCTACACTGTGTACAATACCAGTAAGAAATGGCTAATTATAATATACAATTCGTAACAATTGTTATGACAATTTGAAAAGGCACGTTTACACTGAAAAAGCAAAAGCTAATCAAATGAATAAATTTTCTGTAAAAGTAAATAAATAAATAAAATCCTGTATCGTATTTAGAGATAATAATGGCGTATGAACTCATAACTTTACATGTCATGTGTTGTTCCACTACAGTTAATCATGTTTCCTGTTCTTTCTCCAGTCCAGTAAACTCATCCTGGCTTTGATGCCAGCTGTTCTGTAAGCTAGCAAACAGAATTCCCCTAGCTGTCCTGTGGAAACGCTGAAGACATATATCTGCACCTTAAAGCATTGTGCTGTTCTTGGTGCACATTTAAAATACGTTAAACAATAAAACAGAAGAATCCATAAGTCAAATCCTTTTTTTTATCATATTTTTTCCGTGAAGAATGTATCATGTTAAAATATGTTCACGCTAAAATATCTGCACATTATCTTAGTGAACCATTAATGAAAAGTTGATCATTGCATTGAGTGGGAAATTAATATTTTCGACCCTTTGCAAATGAGTTGTTATTGTGACTTTCCCTTCTCCAGCTGTTCTCGGCTCTTCCTGTGAATGTGTTGTATGTGGGTGTGGGGAATCAGGGGGCCGCCCTAACCCACTGGCTGCTCTCCAGTAATCAAAACATCTGTCTCCCATCCCCATCATCTAAACTTCAGAGACATACAATCATCCTCCATGAACCCGAAATCAAATAAACACAATCTATGCATGAATTTTCCCTGTAGTTCTGTTGCTTGTAGCTCTGATTTAGAAACATCTTCAATAAAGAGTGATGTTCAGACCATAAGCTTACTGATACTGAGGCAGGAAACGACCAGTGGTGAAAGTATAAATTCCAGTCTTTATGCTTTCCTGTTAGACCAAATGACTACTGAGGATTTATTTCTTATTTGGTTAAACATGATCCATTTAATAAATCTGAATACATTTCCCCCCTTATTTCCTAGAAGTTCAAACATGTTGTAAGAATGTGCCTTTACAACAGTTTTAGTTAAAGATAAGGCAAAACACAGACTAACCACATATTTAAAAAGCAAATTTGTTATTAAAACGCATTTGAGATAGCAGTGTGTGTTTGCAATAACAGCTGTTACATTCATATGCCATTCAAAATACAGCAAAACACCTCTAAGAATGAAAATACATGCATGCTCAATAAGTAAATAAATAAACAAACCAAGATGGATGTAGCCTAGATAAACGAACATCAATAATTTCATGAATATCAAGGGCTTTTCTCAGGGTTAATCCATTTCACCTAATCAATGTGCCTATTCATAAAATATGCGATAACATATTTACTCCACAAAGTAGGCCTATGTAGGCTTAAATATGTTTATGTAAATTTATAAAAATACTTGTAGGCTACTACTGCTACTGCTAAAACTGCTTACGTAAGGGAAAGTTCACTCAAAAATGGAAATTGTGTCATCATTTAGTCACCCTCAAGTTGCAA